CTCCATCTACCTTGGCTTGTATGCTAAATCTTGATAGAGTTACAGCCTTAAATTTTTCTATGAATGACAGTTATGCTAGTTTGTTCAGAACAAGAATTGGATAATGGCTTTGTTGTTTTGTTTTTTTATGCTTGAATTGGTTATTGTATTTTTATCTTTGGTATTTTTCTTGGTGAATTTTTGTGTGTTAGGTCGTATTTGTAAGTTTTTTTTAGTTTTTTTTTTTTGCTTCAGCTATTAGTGTGTGTGTTTTGGCGATTAATAAAATGGACTCCTTTTTTGGGTAAAAAAAATTGCATTCTATCTTCTATACAAGAGTTAACTTTTTTTTTTTTGTTTGCATGAGTGAGTGGCTCTTGACTATTTCATTTGGATGAAGAGGTAGTTAAATTATTTATATTTTTCTGGAAAAAAAGGTTTTTTTAATTTATTATTATTTTAAAAACATTTTTTTACATAAAATTTTACTCTACTTATAAAAATTATAAAAAATTAAATAATTATATGTTTTGGGCAAAATTTATATATTTAATATATTTTTATCCAATTAAATCAAAACAAGTAAATTTTAATATTAATAATATTAAGAATTCATATGTCTTAATTCAATTGAAGACATGCACCATAGGTATAGTTTTTTCCATTTATTTTTATACAAAATAATGTATAAAAAGACCATTAATTTTTAAAAGATAACTTATATATAGCACTAATGAAGTGTTTTATATTCATTACTAAGGTGTCACTCATTTAACTTATAAGTGATTGTATCAACTAATCAAGCGAGTTGAATTAGCTTATTTTGGAGTCTCGAGATTGACTCCTAAACTATGCAGTCGTATTATATAAACACGCCAAAGACATTATCGAGATATCTATGAGGCCACCATTGATAATAACGATTCCACACAGTTGAGGTTCTGTTTAGTTTAGGTGAAAGGTAGTAATATCTCCAAACTTCCTAAAACACCAAGTGATTAAAAAAAGCAAAAGAAGGTGTCACTCACTCATGTGCGCGTGGATGCATGCATTTATTTATAAATTATTTTTAACTATTTCACCAAAATTAATTAGAGATAGTTGAATTTTTAATATTATCTAAAAAAGAAATAATTTTTTAATTTATCCTAATTAAATGCATCATTTAAAAAAATATTTTCTCACATGATTTGTTACTCTTTACTAATCAAAAATCATGAGAGAATAAATTTAAAAGCAAGTACTTAATGATTCATTTTCAAAAGAACATCTTCTCTCATGTAACTTTCTCTCGTGAATTTTTCTATCAAAAAAGAAAATATCATAAATTATTTTATAGAAGATAACTTATGTATCGGAGAGCGGAGGAAGTTATTTTTTGAATTATTCAATATCTTTTTATAAAATACCTCTCATTGAAGTTTGGATTTAAAAATATTTTACTATAAATTTAGTTAGTTTATCTTTTTTTTTTTTGCAACTTTTATTAATTTTATTGGGTTGTATAAAGATTGAAAGACACTTGGCACATAAGAATGAGATACAAAGAACATGGCCCATAATTGTGCGTGGACCACTATCGAGAAGTGGTACCGTGAGTCCATTACCACTAAAGGAAAAGGCAAAATTGAATCAGAGTGCACTAAATGGGGGAAAAAAACAATGTTGACGACCTTTTAATGAAAAATATTTACACAAATTGGATTCTAAGACTCAAAACAAGTCTTACAAATTCAATGAGTACTTTGAAGGATATCTAAAGAAAAAATTGACAAGACATTGCTATTAAGATTAGAATTTGAAACTTCATCCTTGTGTCATTGTGGTTATTAAAAAAAAAAAAAATCCATCCTTGTGAAACTTTTATCACTTTCTAATAATTTTTTTTAATTATCCAATCAAAGTGTTTGGTGTTTTGTCAACATAATTTTCAATATCTCAAAAACCGAAATTTAGTTATATAGAAGAATAATTATAAAAAAAATATTGAAAATTAGATTTACATTGCATACACATATAGATGAATGTGTTTTTCTTTAAAAATTAATATTTAAATCTATGACTAATTGTCTATGAATTTAATATTTTAATTTTCAAATATAGTTTTTTTTTAGTTCTAAAGTATGAAACATTTGTTTTCCATTTTATTGCTAAAGATACCTTAAAGGAAAAAGAGAATTGCGTATAAATCTCGCATAATACAATTAAATAAAACAAGATTAGTTATTTATATATCAATGAACTTGATAGTATTTAATTGTGTATTAAGGGATTTGAATGTGTTTTTCTTTCTATAGGAAAATCTCAAGTCGGCTTGAATGAAGACAGATTATAAGGAAAAAAAAACACATTAAATTCCTCTCAAATGATAAATAAAAGTTTTTTCATGTAAAAAGGTATTTTCATTACCACTTGAGATAAAATTGGTCCATGATTTAAAAATAAAAAACAAGAGGATTACGTTTTGGGAAAATAAAAGTTCAAGAGTCTATATCTTAGTTGATGCCACTTTTGACTATAATAATAACGAGATGGTATATCGCCAAACTTTTGATTCCTTTATAAAAAAAAGAATTCAGTCCCGTTTTTTCTTCTTGTCTTTGTGGAAGATATGAAAATCAATGTCAATATGTTAGCATCAAAATAATGAATTGCCAATATAAATTATATAATGTATGTCAAATCACATTATTCACAATCTTTAAACAGAAGCCTAAATGTCATAATATTATTTCAAAATAAAATAAATAGAATAAAAACTAATATCAATATAACTAAATACCAGCACATATTATGAAAGGGAAAATTCCATAAAATCCCTGCTTGAAAGGCAAGTTGTTCAGAGAGACTAAAATTAATTTAAGAATCAAATGCATATCAGGTATCTTTTTTTACATATCAAGCTTATCATCTTAGACACCAAACCTATCATCCAACATTCCAAACCTATCACATTGTACATTAAACCTATCACTTTGCACTCCAACCTATGACCTTGTACACTAAACTTATAACCTTACACATCAAACCTATGATCTTTCATAACAAAGTTTTATGTTAGCCTTCAAAAATTTCATGTAATTTATATGCTTGTAGTATAAACAATCCATTGTCTGTGTTTAAGATAATAGGTTGTATTTTCATAAAATTTGTACTTTTATGGTGTGGAAGCTTATAGGTTTGAGATACAAGGTCATAAATTTGGTTAAAACATTATGGATTTGGCGTGCAAAGTGATAGATCTGATGTGTATTTGATCCTTAAATTAGTCTTGATCTTTCAAAACAATTCGCTTTTAAAGAAAAATTTTATGACAATTTTTCCACTATAAAATTTATAAAGGCATTATTCACAGCAGTGTTATATTGAGCTCATTCATCTATTTCTGTGCAATCGTGCATGGTCACACCTGGTTGCAATTGCATAATTCTAAAAATAAAAGAAATTAAAAAAAAAGTTCTGTTAAAAACTGATAATCGTTATTTTGAAGACAAAAATAAAGTGAGTAACAAAAAAGATAGAGATTGAAACGCATAAAAATACAATACAAAGAAAATTTTCTAAATGCAAAACGGCATCTACATGAAAGATGAAGACGATCCATAAGCACAAAAATTATTACTTTTATATAATGGCACTAGCCTCATATTGATCAAATCCAATCCAAACTCCTCTGCAAGAGTTGACAAATGGTGAGAGAAACTTCCTAGGATCCCTTGATTGCAATAAACCCAATACATGATATCATCAATAGTCTATTCAATTAAAACATAACATTCAAATGATATTAAATATAAATAAATTTTGATATTAATAATAGTAGAAAGAAAAAAATAAAAAACTAAATAAATATTTAATTATAAAAATAAAATCATTAAAAATAATAACACATAATATTTTATTTAATTAAATTGATACAATTTTATTAAATAAATCACAAATGTTGTAGTGCACCAAATTCATTAAAAAAAATTCGTCTAGTTTATAAGGCATGTTTCAGTTTGATTCCAAAAAAAAAAAAGAGCGAGGACCTAACTCTTTGCAAGGCACATTCATAGGCTCCAATAAAAATCTTGCTTTGTATATATCAAAATTAGTTTTGCTCGTACATTTTAGTATATTTCCCTCATGCAGGGGCCTGTTTTAAAATGGAAACTAAGAAAAAAAAAAAAGGATAACTCTACTAACTGCCAAGTGTAACTAAGCAACCCAGCCTATGCTCCCGAATCTGTTTTCTTCTCAACTCTAGATTTCTGAGCCATTACACCTGGTTGCAATTGCATAATTCTAAAAATAAAGGAAATTTAAAAAAAAAAAAGTAGTGTTTAAAACTGATAATTGTTATTTTGAAGACAAAAATAAAAAGAGTAACAAAAAAGATGGAGATTAAAACGCATAAAAATACAACACAAACAAAATTTTCTAAATGCAAAACGGCATCTACATGAAAGATGAAGACGATCCATAAGCACAAAATTATTATTTTTATATGATAGCACAAAATTATTGACCGGAACAAGTAGAGCTTTGAAATGGGCCAACCTAGCCCCATATTGATCAAATCCAAAAGTCCTAGTTCGGAGTTAGAACGAGGACGTAACTCCTTAGGTCCTCCGCAAGAGTTGACAAATGGTGAGAGAAACTTCCTAGGATCCCTTGACTGCTTGTAACTTGTTTAGCTTATAGAGAAATTTGCCAATAAACCCGATACATCTATTCAATTAAAACATAACATTCAAATAACACTAAACATAATTTAATTTTAATATTAATGATAGTAAAAAATAAAAAATAAAAAAAACTAAATAAACATTCTATTATAAAAGTAAAATCATTAAAAATAATAATATATAATATTTTATTTAATTGAATTGACATAATTTTATTAAATGAACCATGAACGACGTAGTGTATTAAATTTATTAAAAAGTTTTGTCTAGTTTATAAGGCATGTTTTAGTTTGGTTCAAAAAAATAAAATAAAAAGAGCAAGGACCTAACTCTTTGCAAGGCACATTCACAGGCTCCAATAAAAATCTTGCTTTGTATATATCAAAATTAGTTTTGCTCGAACATTTTAGTACATTCCCCTCAGGCAGGGACGAGTTTTAAAATGGAAACTTAAAAAAAAAAAAAAAAAAAGGGATAACTCTGCTAACTGCCAAGTGTAACTAGGCAACACAGCCTATGCTCCCGAATCTGTTTTCTTCTCAACTCTAGATTTCTGAGCCATTTCCTGACTTGAATATTTACGAAATCTATACTCTGTACTATGAAGATTAATTACTACGATCATGTTATAATACAATCAGAACAGCTCCATTAATTGCCGTGTGACATCTGCATCAAAGTGAAATAAATAGTTAATAAGGAGGAATTTAAACTTCAAATTTAAAATAAAAAGTCTAGGAACAGTGGATGCCAGCAGTGTGTGTTGAGCAACATATGCTGAGAAAACTTTTTCCCAAAAGGAGTGCAGAGCCACAGCATTTTGGGGGATCTCCATCTTGCATGGTCTAGATTTACTTTAGACCATTTAAATCATGTCATCGCTATTATTTAATTTTTCAGATAAATCATCATTTTTTTTAATATTGGTGAAAAATTGTATTTTTGAAATTTACATTACGCCCCCTTCAAGATAAGGGAAGAAATAATAAGACCTATAGTAAATTCTCCCAATTACATGTAGACAATCGAGAAGAAATATGCACACTCATGAGGCATTCATGAGCATTGGATCCTAAACTAGTTATTGAGATGGGAAAACTAATCTAGTCAAGAGGTTATGTGCATGTTTGTTTACACGCTAGAAACCATCAAAGCCATGGTTTTTAACATAAAACCAAACACGCTCTAAGTGTGTATCATACTACTAGGGCAGTGGCAGAGATTCAGTAGTAGCTTAATCTCCATCACGTACACACACATGTTGGTAGTTTCCCTTTCTTTTTGGTAATAAACTATTATCTATATCCATGTGAGACTCAATAGAGTTCTGCGTTGGCTATTGAGGACTTAATACAACATTCCTCCTTTATCAAGGTTTGAGACCAGCTAAAACATAAAAGTTTTCTGATGATAAACTAATAATACATTAATTTGTTGGGAGAGAAACAGAAAGTTTGAGGACGTGGAGTACCTTGAAGAATGGATGGTGTTGTCTGAAACTCGTGCCAGATGTTATGATAAGCAGCAAGATCCATGTTCAGAAACTTGGCTGCAAGAAACGCAGCACCAGCAGCAATATGATGGGGTTTAAACTGAAGCCATAGAGAGCTACGAAGCCTGCAAAACATCATATTTTTCAGCTACAAAAGACCTTGCATTGATACAAGACATACAGCACTTCTACTTCCAGTCACAAGAATTGCTCAGCACAATTAGAGATGCAGAAATTATCAAACTAACCGTTCGGAAAACAGATTCTTCTACAACTTAGCACATATTCCCACCACGACAGAGATCATGTCAGCTTCTAAATGAACATTCATACCAAGCTAAAGACCCAAGTACATTAATTTTTCCTTACCAACTAGAAAAGCAGCAACTCAGGAAGAAAATCATTCCAAGAATGTCTGCAGGATTGCCGATACAGTACAAAATTATAGCAAAATTTTACAGTCATCTAAGGAGTTTATCAGACTTGCAGGCCCAAATGTGCTGTGCGGGAACTCCAGAGATATTATGCAATTAAAATGCGAAAACATAAAGGCCAGCTGCACAAGAGACAAGATACCACAATTTTCCTCCATATCATCATTAACTTGAGCCAAGTAGAAAGGCCCACGTTTGAATAATTTTATTATTGATTGAGATTGTAGTAACTCATTCTGCATCTAACTTCCACTAGTTTGCCTCCTTACTCAATTTTTTGGTTTTGGATTATCAGATCTTACAGACAGACCAACATGGTTTTCAGACCCTGATCTTCTTTCCACCCATGTTTATATGGACAAAATTGTGCCCACCCCAAAAATACATGGATCCTCCAGTCATAGAAGTGACTGTGGAAAATATATTTAGAGAAATATAAGGTGAAAAGAGAAAGTGTAAAAAGACAGTGAGTCCCATTAAGAGTCTCACTTCTTTGATACTTTCTTTCTGACTACATAACAGTAAAGAATCTACTTAAAAAATGGGGGAGGCATAGATAAGCCGTTTGGCTAAAGGTCTCAAGCATAAGGTTTAAGGACTGAGGGTAGGATAAAAAAGTGGGCTGGGGATACTGTGACTATCTTGGGTAGCTCAAAGCTCAGTTATGGGATGGGACATAATCAGGGGTTAAGCAAACCATTAGACATCAGCAGGTCTACATCAGATGCAAAACAAAACTTTCCAAGAACAGCTATCAATCCTCCAGCTAAGATTATCATACAGGCCAGCATGTTAATCTTGTGAACACCCTGCAATTGTATGCATGCCAAAAGAATCAATATCCATGACAAAATAACTACACAGAGCAGTTGCTCTAAAATTTAGATTGAGAAAAAGAACGTAATCTTGAACCAAAAATAGACTTGAGACACAAGGCATTCTCCTTAGCCACTTGTTCTCCAGACATCAAAAACATCCCTTATCCTGTTCCACCTAAGTTTTCCAATCCAATTACGCCAGATCGGAAGACGTTATATAGGCATGAAAGATTGAACACATCTAAGGTCAAATTTGATGCAAGCCAACTCATTTTTTCCTCAGGTTGATTGAAAACAACTAATGCCCATGCTCCATCTGTAGGAGATATTAATCTAATAAATATAAATGGGAAAGATAACTCACCCTTCACTTATCAATTGTAATGCCAAATTCACCAAAACAGTCTGTGATAGACCTAATTTGGTAAGAATAGAAGTAAGTGGAGCATATGGATGTTGCACATTGAGTTCAAAGTTCAAAGTAGTCAGTATTAATGTCTCAGCCTCAAGCATCCGTTCACGATATTGTTCAAACCAATCCTGTGAAATAAGAACATATCATGTATTATATCACCCAATACAATTTTAAAGTACAAATGTCATTCAAAGATTATTCAAGACGCTAAAAGTTCATAGACTCATTTATGCACTGACCTTTCTAAGGCAATTATCTTAATAATGAAAAATACATACAAAAGAAGAAACATGAGGTAATTTTAGGTATACTCACCAAAGGAAGATATGGTGAAAAAGTATAATTATGCTTGTGTAAGATTTCACTGGATGCCTGTAAAACATTGTTCAAAGGACGCGGTGTGTCCTCAGACTTTGCAGCAAGAAAAAGTGTGGCAGTAGAGATCAGCTGCAGCAGAACAAGATCAACATTAACATAAAATCATTCAAATCTAGAAGTTCAACTGAAAAAAGAAAGAAAGAAAGAAAAGTATTCTGATGGTTAAATAGACTAACAAGTACCATTACCATCCAGAACATATCCAATGAAGCACAGTTTTAATGGTAAAACAATTCAGAGAAGCACCTAGTAATAACGAAGATACATAGACTAAGAAAACAATAAAATACTCACAAATCTGTCATGGCAAGCATGTGATCTCCGAACAAAAAAACGATGGCACAGAACCATGGCTGTCCCAATGGTAGTTTGAGGCCTGAAAATGAACATGACATCACTTTACACTTAGGCCAAATAATAGTTGAGAATGAATCATATTCAAAAGTACCACGACTACAGCCATGTCCTTTGCAGCATTATCAAAGAAACCAAAAAATCTCGACTAAAATAATAGAACTTTAACATAAGGAAGTTAAAATGGAAATCATGCAGCATATCTTACAGCTCAAGCCTCATTCCAAGATCCTGAAGGAAAGCACAATAAGAGTAACGCAAGTTTGTCTCATAAAGTGCATCAATTCCATCTTTTCTTGATGGTGAGAATCTATCAATCTCATCCCTTGAGAGAAATACCAAGTCTTCATCTTCAAATGTAGAACATTCAAGCTTGCAACTAGCTGATGTAGAAGAGATACTGTCATGAACAGTGGCTGGAAGATAGTACCTCCAGCAGTTTTCCCAATTAGAAGCTGAATGCTTCCTCCTCTTCAAAGATGATTGTACGGAATTATTGAGTTTCACATACATAACATGATCTGCCCTGAAAAAATTAGAATTCCCACTGTGCTCCGCACATGTTGCCCAGTAATCATAGTAACTGCCGTGATTCCAATTATTATAGTTATTCCTACTTCTCTTTCTATTGGTGTTGCTGCAGTTATTTACGGTGGATGCGGACCAATAAGCACCATGTAAAGCATGTCCTTCCTCCTGAAAATTCGCTGCTAGAGACATTTTACTGCAAAATGACACATTCCACAAAGTGAGAATCGAAATTAATGCACTTATAACTTAACAGCACCATACCAGTAAAAAATAACAAACCATCTGCTTCTGGATTATCATTTTTCCAGCAATTGAAAATTTTTAACATGATAGGGACAACGTCCTGTTTTCATCTTTGTTCCTTCACCAATTAATTTAGTTCTACTAACAACAAATGCAATTCACAACAACCAATCGTCTGATCTCGATTCATGATATATTTATCCGTACGGTACGTTTAACGAGGGAAAAATCAAGGTTTGTTCTTTGTACATCCATCCCCCGAAAACCTTCTATCTGTTTTGCCGGATAAAGAATAGAACACGCAATTTTAAATGAATTATATAGCAAATAACGCCACAGAGAAACCAAAAAACACAGATTTTGAAGATGGAGATTATGTAACGAAGATCTCGTCGATCAAAATTTTCTAGGATCATGCTATCGGAACCATCTCCAAATTGAAACAACAGGTAAAACATAGCTACGCTCACCTGATTGATTAGCGGTGAAACTGATCTCGTAGCAACAGGTCTATGATTCAAGATTCAAGATTGCAATTGGAATGAAAGGTAGGGTTTTATATGGAGATGAACAACAAAGAACTGGTCTTGGAAGGTCAGGGAACAAAAAGGTCGCTAAAATGCCAAAAACCAAGGACCCTCCATCTGAAATAAGGGTAAGGCGTATCATCCGTTATTTATTATTATTATTAATTTGAAAGAATTTGAGTCATGCGCAAATGAATTTGAATTTAACGACCCGTTTATTTAAAATTAAAAAATAAATAATTTCTAAGTAGTTTAAAATTTTATAAAAAATATTTATTTTGTAGATATTTTATAAAAAGCAGATATTATTTTATATTTAGTTACAATAATAAAAAAATTTATTATTAGTTACACATTTTTAAATTTTATGATATTTTCTTTAATTTTTGTTTCATAAAAATAAGTTATTGTTATATTATTTTAAAATTTTATTATATCTTAATGTTTATCACATATTTAAAATATTCTCTTTTATCTATCGTATTAGGTCTGATTTGTTTTAGCTTATTTCATGAAAAGTTTATTTTGTAAGTTTTTATTATATTTGTTTAACTTTTGAAAATAATTAGAATCCAAAAAAAGCATATTTTTGATTATTTTGAAAAGTTGCTCTAAGTAGCTTTTTAAAATAATCTAATATGATAGATGAGAGAAAGTGTTTTGATAGATGCGTAAACATATCATAAAATTTTAAAATAATATTATAATAATAAATTATTTTTATAAAACAAAAATCAAGTACGATATTACAAAATTTAAAAATAACTAACTAATAATTACTTTTTTATTATTGTAATCAAATATAAATTAGTGTCTACTTTTTATAAAATCTCTACAAAATAAATCTTTTTTATAAAATTTTTAAACTACCTAAAAATTATTTTTTTTAATTTTAAACAAATGTACCCTAGATTATTTTCTAGAACTGTAATAAGTTTTTAAGTTTGAAATTTATAAGTGTTGGAAAGGGTAAATTAATCAAAATAAGAGAATTATGAATTAATTATGTTTTTGGATGACTAATATAGTTTTTGAATTATTGGACAGTCTTAGAAGAGGGCTAGGACAGAGTTCAAGCAAATCTGAGCATAAAACAGGGCCCAAAATCATGTTAAGTGTAACAGCCCTCCTGGGTCACCACTGCCTCTCCAGGGTCTTTTCTCAGGCGCTGGACAACACACATGTCACCACATGATTGCCGGCTTTCCCACTGGTGGTACAGTGGTTATTCCTCACCCCACCCTCACGGAGGTCTTTTGGAACCTCCCCAGACTCGAACCTCCAACCTCTACCACCTTAACAAAGTTGAGGCTAAGTCTGGTACCATTGAGTCACTCAATGGTACCAGACTTAGCCTCAACTTTGTTAAGGTGGTAGAGGTTGGAGGTTCGAGTCTGGGGAGGTTCCAAAAGACCTCCGTGAGGGTGGGGTGAGGAATAACCACTGTACCACCAGTGGGAAAGCCGGCAATCATGTGGTGACATGTGTGTTGTCCAGCGCCTGAGAAAAGACCCTGGAGAGGCAGTGGTGACCCAGGAGGGCTGTTACATTAAGCTATTTTATGCCATCCGTCATGGCAAACACATCATGCATTGCAGCGCATGCACAAATTTCTACTTTTATCAAACAGTCGCATGAGTCTAATTCTAGAGCAAGAAAAAAAGAGAACATAAGAGAGAGGATAGAGGAAGCTTGTGGCCTACTAGGCCTTCATCTTGAAAGCAATTTGGGAGCATTTTAAGCAAAATTAATGCTTGAGTAAGCTCCTCATACATCTCCCTATCACTTTATGCTAAATTTTTGTGGTTTTAAGGGAATGTGGGGTTTCATTTCATTTTTCTTGGGTTGTAATTGAATCCATTGGCTTAGTTGAAGCCTTAGAGAGTTAAGTCAAGTTTCCAAACCTAAGTTTATAGATTATACAGTGATTTAAAATTTTTGGATAAGGTTTGGACGAACCCTGAGTGAGATTTGGGAGTTTTAGAATAATGTGGGTAAAGAAATGGTATTATTAGTATGTTTGGGTGTTAAATGAAATTGATATAATGTATTAAAAGTGTAAAGGGTGTTAAAGTCAGACTTTGAATATAATGGGTGCCCAAAATTATGCTACAAAGGAGTTAATTAGAGTGAAAATTGATGTTAAATGTTTACTATTATAGATTAAATATTGATCGAGCTTTATTACACGAGTGGACACTTGTGGAACTAAGTTTTGACCAAGGTAACAAAAGGGTTAAAGTAACTAAATTATCTAAACTTATTATTTGTGTGTTTGGATGACTGTGTGTTGTTGTGAAAGTTTATTCCACTATTATTTTGAACTAATGTACTCTTTGTAAAAATGATCATTAATTTAGAAACTTTATGTGAAGTAGAATGGATAACTATGTTTTGCACATTTGTGGTTTTAAAAGTTTCGTGCTGAATCCTATGTTTAGATATATGTACTTGCAAAATTGTATGATTTATAGTAGAAATGATTATTCAAGTGTAATTTACATGTTTTTGGCTATGTGTGAAACTATTAAGCATAAGTTTGACATGATTATTGTAAAAGGGTGGGAATTCACCTAAGTATTGATTGAAAACATTGTTTGGAAATCCATATGGTGCACTGTCATCGTAAAAGCCCTAGTGGATAGTGCTATATTTGTTTAGAAGTTCTGGTACTATTTGAGATAGATTGGGCATACGACACCCCAGGTATTCATAGAAAGGGGAAATATGTGGTCCATAGTAGGTAGAGGCACCTTTAGTCGGGCTGCCTTCTACAATTGGTGAATTTGATTCTATCCAGTCATATGAATTTGGTTTTATCAAATTCTCAGCCCGTAGATTCAATCGGAGGAAATAAGGCAGTGTTTTTATCATGAACATCTCTATTGTATGGCCATGTGTGTATGAAACTTGATATATATATAATATATAACATGTTTAAATGCCACTTTATATACTCACTAATTGTTCTCACACCTGAGTAGTTTATTTAAATTATTTAGTTATTAAGCTCTCAACTCACTCCATGATTATATTTTATAGGTAAAGACTCGGATAGGGATAAAGGAAAGGAAGATGCTACGGAAAATTGAGAGACTTATGTTTGTATAGTACTTACTCTATCTTTTGGTTTTGTAATGAATTTGTATTGAGTATGCCAACTTAGGATTATGTGTTGTTTTGATGTCACTTGCATGAGAAATGAATGGAATTGTAAGTATGTCAAACTAGGATAATGTAATTGTGATGAAATTATTGTGGGAAGTTAAGATACTAGTATAAGTGATGTTTTGTGTTGTTTATATGTTGGAATAGCCAAAATCATGTTTTATGTGAATTATTATTACTCCTCGAATTATGGTGAATTTGGGGTTTTTTATAGCCAATTTGTGTTTGGAATGTTATCATTGTTGTGCAATTGCTCATTCAAGTTGTTTGAGGTCTATTTTAGTTAGTTCAAGTAGTTTCACAATTATTGGCATTAGGTTTATGGGTTTGACATCCTTTTGGTTGTTTTGAAAGGAAAATGGATAAATTTATGTCCAAGTGTCTAACTTTTAAATGATTGAGTGTTTAGATATAAAATCAGTGCCAATAGCTAAAGGGCTTAATGAGCGATGTGTAAATACTTGAATTGCTCAATTCAAATGTTGAATGGCAAAATGGCACACTCCAAAAATTAGCTGGAGAAGCTGTCATAACAGTAAAAATGTGTTGCAGCACATTGCATTAAAAGGGACATGGTCCCTCTGTGCCATTTGCCGTGACAGGCAATGCCTGCTCTATGACAAACAGGGCCTTTTTTAGAATTTTTCAAAATGTTTCATTAATGCTTTTAAGAGCTATGTGTAACTCCTGAGCTAGACTAGTAAGATTTCCCTTACTAATCCTCCATAATCTCTCACAAATCAATATGATCAATCATTTGATAAAAATTACAATTGGAAAGATCCAAATTTCCAAAATTAACAAATGGGATAAATAATTTTACACCATACACAATGAAATCTCAAGATTCTTAACATTTAAATTACTCTTATATGCTTTTGATAGTCTCAAATCAAAATTTCAAAACGTTATGGAAGGTTGGAATTTAAATGGGACCCAAAAACTTTTGATTTTAAGCTCAAAATTATGAATTATGTAACAAATGGCACATGCGTCATGGCTAAGTGTCATTACACCGCAGCTCGTTAGCCTCTCTGCCACATGCCGCAATATATTGCACAAAATTTAATAGCAAACTTCTACTGTTATTTGATAGCACAGTAATAAACTTTCAACACATCCCAAATCTCTGTCTGATGCCCAATTGAGGTGATTTCAATGTCTATATGGAGCTTTATCCTAACTTTAATTATTGGCACAAGTTTCATACTCAAATTCATTTTCTACAAAGAGTTGAACATCTGAAATTATTTTCACTACTTTTTCACAAAAATTCACCACAAGGGTGTTCAAATTCACACATAAGTGTCAAAAGGCCACACCAACCACTCAACCACACTCATCGAACCTTATAGGACTCGTGCAACATACCATAACCACAAACATGCACATATAACACAAATTTAACCCTCAAACCCAAATTTAATAAAACATAAGGGGGAGAAAAAGTTTGTGCCAATCATTCACTTTCATTTCAAAACATCTAAAAATATATATAACACTACTTACACAAGTATTTTGATTCTATACAAGATTTACAACCAAATACTCACTAACTCAGGGTATTAAATATACAAGTTGGACACTATAGTAATGCAAATAGCTTAAAAATAATCATGTAAATCATAGTTAGTAAATTAACAATGTTAATACACAAAAAACAACACATTAAGGCATACAAAAAGGAATTAATCTACAATCCTATGCCTCAGTATGTTTTCCCTGATATTGATCCAATGAGCTGAGCCCTAAAAATATTAAAAATTGAGGGATAAGTATAACCACTCGGTAACTAAGTTTTACCTAATCTATACAGTTGCATATTAATTAAAAATAGATACAATTAGCAAATAATATATAAATAAGACACATGTGATAAATGTAGCCATGATTACAACAATAACAACCATGTAACCAGGCATAAAACTCATATTAGCCATTATGC